CAGAAAAAAAAAAAAAAAAGGTAGAATTAATTGAGGAAGGGTCTTGGGATTTAAGCTGGCACTTGCTCAGCCCCTTATATGACTTTCAGAAAGCAAATATGGGAAGGACCTGTCCAGAGCAATGGATGTAACCAGCATTTACCGAGTACCGACTATGTACGTCTCCATATGGATCATCTCCTTCAACCTTCACACCAAAGCTGAGAAGTAGAAACCACGGCTCTAGGAGGAGGTTCCCAAATATAACCTCTGATTGGTCAACATTAGAATATCCTAACATTACCCTGACTCCATGCGGAATTAATAGGAAATCCCTGTTTAGCGTTAATGTACAGGCTGCTTGGTTCATGCCTTCATCTAACCAGATGTTTAACTGTTGTAGAAATAATAACCAGTTCATTCTTTGAGATTCCCTGGAAAATAGTTAAATGAGGATAATATCTCAGCCAGAGAAAGCATGAAAATGGCTTTTGCTTCCCAGCCCAGGCTAAGGGATTCCACTTAGTCTTTCCCTCTCTCTAATCCCCTTCCCCCAGATGGATAGAATGCAAATCATAGGGCTAGAGGACATTTGTAGATTTGTGCTTGAAATATTTGAATTTTTGTCTTGGAAACCTGTAACCTTTTATTCAGTAAGGAGCATCTTTAAGTAGTGAAATAAGGAAGTGCCTCCAACATGCTTGGTAGTGGGAAGAGGCCCCGTGAAGTATTACAGGAGGAAAAAAAAAATGCAGGCAGATAGAGGGAGGCGAATAGAGGGAGGCAAATAGAGGGAGGCAAATAGAGGGATGCAAATAGAGGGAGGCAAAAAGGAAGAACAGGAAGGAGGGAGGGAGGGAAACAAAAAACAAAGAACCTTCATAAATCTAGATTGATTTTATGACTCAGCTTGAGATGAACTCTGGTAATTTTAGTTGTTTTTGTTTAAAATATCCTTTTGCAGACCCAAAGGAGTAAGCAGACACCTCAGTACCTCCCTTGGTAATGAGACCATCCTAGCAGGTTTACTGTGAAGCTACTGAAGCTTAAACTTCAGGGCACAGTCCTTGCACTGATCCCTCCCAAAACCTTGGGAGCTGGGGAAATGTTTTCCTGTGCTCATGTGTACAAGCTTCAAACCACTCAAAATCCAGATCCATGCTTGCATCTCAGGAATAGAGTTCTCAAGAGAATAGCATTTTCATAACCAAATCTTGATTCTTGATAGGTCCCACATTTCCCTAGTAGTGGAGCTTCCCTTCCTTTTAATTTCTCTTTGTGATTTGCAAGGATTTAACCTAATTTGTATTTCATTTGTGCAGATGAAATTATGCAGCAGGAAATCAGGCCCTTATTGGCAGTGGATATAATTGAACAACTTCACAGACAATTTGCCATTCTTTCAGGTAAGGGGCTAACTCACTTGTATTTTTAGATTTTGTTGGGGGTTCTGCTCAGAGGGCCCTGCCTTTTGAATCTTGGTGAACATTATACTTGAGTCTCAGTCATCCCTTAAGTCTCACCCAGACTATACTGAACTGGGGACCATCCAGCTGGAGGAGGGTGGGATCTCATAGATGTCATTCCATTTGCTGTTGGGTGCAATTTTGATGTTTCTCGAGGGTGTACATTTTTTTGAGGTTGTAAAAGAACAGAGCTGAAAAAATTTTGAGGAAGAAAAAGAAATAACTACTGACATCAGCTGCCACCATGATGTTCTTCTAAGATACAATCTTAAGAGAGTCTTGGTTTTAAAGGTTCATGAGCATTGCTGAGGTTGGTGGTTCTCTGAGAGATTTCTCTTTTATCCTTAGCTCTTAAGGACTTAATTTTAATACCTTGTTGTTGTTGTTTTTTAATTTTTATTTTTTATTAAGCACTTGATTGTGAATAGAGAGAGGCTAATATTAACAAAAGGCTAGAAATTTTTGGAGCCTGGGCACATTCCTGAAAAGTTGTCATTACTAGATTACTATTGTTTCTTATTCATTTAGTGACGGCAAATAGCAGTAACTGCCTCAGTCTCTCTCCCATTGTTGATCTTCAGCATCTTTCTCTAGGATTTCCCAGCACTCCAAAGTCTCCTCTATATTATGAAGTCTTCATGCCCTTTAGTGAACAGGTAAAATTTATACCAGGAGGAGTGAAGCTTGTTTTATTTAAGTAACCATTTTACTGAGATACAAGGGGCTTGGTTTTCATTTATCTTTCTTGAATGGGACTTTGGCCCTTTCTTCCTGTTGCATTTCCACGATTCCTCACCAGGTGGCACTCGATGCTTCATTGTGGGTTGTCAAGAGTTGTTTGGAGGCGCATCTTTGCTGCTTCTGGGCATCTGCCTCTCAGGACTAATAATATTCAACAGCAGGAGGTGTCCTCAGTTAACCTGGGGAGTAGAGTGGGGGGAGGAGGGAGGGTCTCTCTGCTCTCTGGTGTTCAGCATTGGTATTCACCAAGAAAGAAGAAAACTCCGCCTACCTTTCTCTGCTTAGATGTGAATAGCTTTAATTTATAATTAACGATAAAAGGTGAAGTCGTTAAATGGTGTAATCATATGCTAATGAATATTTTAGGATGTTTTGGTTCCCTGAAGTGTTTTAGCCCTTCTCTTGGCAAATATTGGTCATACGATTCATATGCTGTTATACTACATCTAAATTTAGCCTTACTAGAAATGCAAATTGTCTTAATTTAGCTTTCTCTGGAACTTCCTATGGTTGTGAAACTACAAAGAGGAAAAATATTAGGTGAAAGCGGATATCCTGATCTAAATTGTTTTTAGTCAATGTCAAGGGGTAGTTCAGTGTCCTTGTTGAAGCTTGGTATCTGTGTGAACTTTAAAATAAGCATACAGGACAGGAAAGAGGGACTTCCTGGAAGGATGACTAATCATCCAGACAAAGCTCACAGGGCTTCATTCCTTAGTGGCTAGTCTCTGAGAGCCCAAGACTCACATTAACAAAACGCACAAGAGACTGGTGTAACCACGATGCTGACTTTCTCTTTACAAGATACAAATACTGTAGTCACATTTGTTCAATACCACGTTCTCTCCCTTGAAACACATTTAAATGGAACGTTTGAATGTAAGCAGAAGATGCTGATCAGGCGTGGACTCAGAGCAGCGGAATGGGTTGATGCAATGGTGGTGTCACCTTATCGACTGCTCGCCTTCCCTTCCCTAAGTCTCTCTTTTTCTGTAATTTCTTCATTGATCCCACACCCACATTAATCACACAGTCTGCACTAACCACACCCTACACTGATACCTCTTTCTCAGACATGTGAAATACATGCAAACATTTGTAGTAGTTGCTTCACTTATTTCTCTGAATGTAGTTCCCCTCCATGGGCGTAGCCTGGGAGGTCCTCACAGCACTTCAGCTCACACGCCTGTGGCTGGGGCACAGGTTCCCCAGTTGTCTCAGTTCTTGAGTACCTCAGTAATTTTTTGCAGCCCTTCTTGGCCAAAAGCAATACTGAACAGTTAAACAGCTAAAGTCTACAAGTTTTAACAACTTAGTAGCTGTTTGAAAAAATAAATATACATAAATGGAAAAAAAATAATACTAAGAATTTCATTCTTAGGTAACTACAGTGATCTCAAACCTTGGAATCAGACTCGACATCATGACCCTCCCTTCTTGTTCTACACTCATTTTCACACTGCACTTGCCTTTATCCCAGCGGCCACTCCAAACCCACCTTCACAAAGATACAATGCCATTCAAAAGAACTTAGTGCGACTTAATGTTGAAAGTGTGACCTACCTCAAGCTAGTAGCACGTATGATGTGACAGATGCCAACTATTGTTTCCCTCAAAAATTTAAAATATTCATGGTGCTTCTGTGAGTCCACTGTGGTTCTGTGGTTCCTGGCACACAGCTTTGAAACCATGAAGCCAGAATTTAGTCATGTGGCTACATCCAGCTGCAAGGAGATTGGGAAATATGATCTATTCAGTTTAACCTGGTGGCCTCTGCTTCAATGAATTAAATATTTAAATATTAATTTTACATTTTTATTCTCACAAGGATGTCTTATATTCCTGCTTATAACATATCAAAGGGCAGCTTGTTATGCCTCCTTGTAATGATAATAATAATAATAATAACCATAATAACTGTCACCATTTATTGAGTACTTATATGTAACAAGCGCTCTGCTGAGGCACTTTTCATGTTTTTTTAAACCCCCACACGAGGATATTTTTTCCATTGCTTTTCAGAGAGAGTGGGAGGGGGAGAGAGTGAGACACATCGATTGGTTGCCTTCCATGCTCGCCCTGACCAGGGCCGGGGATGGAGCCTGCAACCGAGGTACGTGCCCTTGGCCGGAATTGAACCTGGGACCCTTCAGTCCTAGGGCAGAGGCTCTAACCACTGAGCCAAACCAGGTAGGGCGCTTTTCCTATGTTTTCACTTAATTCTCACAATACCTTTTCAGGTAGGTACAAATATTATATATATAACTCCTACTTACGTTAAGTATCTTGCCTAAAATCACATAGAAATTAAGTGGGAAAGCAGGATTTAAACCAGGTTGTCTGATTTTAGAGCTAACTCTCTTAAACCACCATTTTAGCTTTTTAATTTAGTTACTACAAAAATGAAGAGAAATATTATGTATTTGTGTTGGCATTCTTTACTATTCTACCTATGTTAAAATAATTAAATCAATATTGCCTAGCTGTCTTCAGAGGATTCAAAAATCAAATTCTCACAGTACCGCTGAGCAAGCATGAATATAGTTCAGTGTCCCACATTCTACTCTGAAATACTATAGATAGGGGAAGGGAGGCCAGTACACATCTCCCGCCTTGGTACTAGAGTCCTTTACCGCACAGGGGCAACATGAAAACCCTGTGCTAACATCTTGTCCACCCATTTTTGTTGCAGGAGGCCGAGGGAAAGACGGTGCCCCAGTCATCACTTTTCCAGAGTTTGTGGGGTTCAAACACATCTCAGACGAGGACTTTCTGAATGTCATGACCTACCTGACTAGCATCCCCAGGTGAGCTGAACACAGCATTCTGCTGCCTTCTTAGTCACTGGCTTTATTCCATGTTTCCCACGTGGCAGGGCTGGGTTCAGATGGAATCTTCCATGAGCACAGCGCAAACTGGCTTGTAACTCAGCCAGTTTCTCTTATCCATCAATCACAGACGAGGGATGTGGAATGAGACTAGAAAACAACGATAAATGAGCATCAGTTCTGTTCATACAGTGCACATAGGAGGTCCTTACTAAACGTTGTTGAGTGAATGAAATATTGCTGGAACAGCCCTGGCCGGCGTGGCTCAGTTGGTTGAGCAGCATCCCACGCACTGAGAGGTCACCGGCTCGATTTCCGGTCAGGGCGCATGCCCGAGTTGCAGACTCAGTCCCCAGTAGGGGCCGTGCAGGAGGTAGCCGATGGATGTTTATCTCTCATCGGTTTCTCTCTCATTCCTCCTCTCCCTTCCTCTCTCTAAAATCATTAAAAACATATTTAAAAAAAAGAAAAGAAATATTGATGGAACAGCTGAAGCTGTCTTTGTTTCTTCAGGTTCATTGCTCTAAATTAAGTTGATTCTGGCTTCCTAGGGCTTGTCATCTGGGACACATGGCCATTGCTCCAGGAGCTCAAGCCATGTTAGGAGTGATTTCATCTATCTCCCTTAAATAAGGAATTTGGGGGCAGATTTTATAGTTGTCATTGAGGCATGCAGCAAGGAAACTGAAAGGCCAGGAATGAAAACTGTTATAATGGAGACCATGGCAGAGATGTTTTGGGGCATCTGCTACTTCCACCCTCTGCAGCCCATGTCTCACCCCTTTTTTTTTTTTTCCTTAAACAGCAGAAGTTTATTATCTCACTGTTCTGGAAGCTAGTAGTCCAAAATCAAGGTGTTGGCAAGCTGGGTTCCCTCTGAGGCTATGAGAGAAGGATCTGCCCCAGGCCTGTCTCCTTGGATTGTAGGTGGCTCTACCTATGTCTCTTCGAGTTGCCCTCCCTCTTTGTGCACCCATGTGTCCAAATTCCCCCTTTTCATGAGGACACCAGTCTTATTGTATTAGGGCCCACCCTAATGAATTCATTTTAATTTGATGACCACTGTAAAGACCTTATCTCCAAATAAGTTCACATTTTGAGGTACTGGGGGATAGGACCTCAACATATGAATTTTGAGGGAAACACAACTTAGTCCACAAAGGGAATGTAGCAGGTCTCACATCTTTATGCCAATTGAGTTAATAAATACCCAAGTCTCCAGGGGATGGATTGTGGCACAGAGTTCATATTGGTAACAATCATTTTACAGTCAGAGATAGAGCTGGGGATTCTTAAATAGCGCTGTGTCTACTCTCCAGCAGAGCAAAAGGCCCCCTCCCTCCAGGGGTTTGTATTGCTTATGATTACTTAACTGCTGTGTGGTTTGGAATTTAGATAAGAGCTGTGTGTGTGTGTGTATGTGTGTGTGCTGTTGTGCTTGCTTTCCATCTGCTGCTTATGATTTAGAGGTCAGTGCCAGCTTTGTGACTGAAAGACCACCCGGAGATTAGGAAGTTGATTAGTTTGCTTTAACCAAACTCACTCCAAAAGATTATTTTTGTTTTTTCACCCTTCTTACTTTTGGAGATAAGGCTATGGGTTTATTTGTAATGTACTTCTCCAAAGTTTATTACTTAAATTCTGTTTCACCATTTCCCTCCCTCCCCTCCTCCCATCCCCGCATGTGGTGTGCATTAAAATACTGGGCTTGGCTCCTGCTGTTCTCTCTGCAGGAACCCCTTCCCCACCCTTCTAGGCCCAAGTCTACACATTCATCAGCCCTCAGTCTGATGTAATTTCTTCAAGGAAACCTTCCCTGACCCCAGTTCTGCTCTTCGAGGCTCTTTATTTCCACAGAGCCCAGAGCTTACCCCTTATAAACACCATAGCAGGTGGGAATGATTTCTGCCTCTTCCATTAGACTATGAACTACTCAGGACCAGGGGCCAATGCTTCCTTTTTCATTTTCTTTTCATCTGTAGCCCTCGCACAGTGTCCAGCACAGAGTAGGTTCTCAAGAAGTAATGTTGGTCGAATTTCCAGTTCTGATATGATTCATTTCAATCTAAAGGTATTTTTATAGGGTGAGAAGGACACTGACAGAGAGAAAAGAACCCCATTCCTCACTCCTGCACTGACTCCCGGGGTTGAATTTGGTCTCCCTCTTTGGCTCAGTTGCATCCGAAACAGTCACCCATCAGCTTTGCACCGTCTCCTTCTGTGAGGAGCAGCAAGGAAGACAGTGAGCAGGGAGGTGGGCGACAGGTGGACGTCCCCACCCATTATATTTGTTTCAATCTCACTGTTTAATTTTACTAAATCCCTGGATGCAGTCACGTGCTAAACGAAGCGGGTAACTTTCACCTTGTACTTGCGACCTTTTCCGAGTCTCACTGAGGGTCGTACATTGCATGCCATCGGAATCAGGACAGAGAGAAGCACCGAAGGGTAGAAACCCTTAACAAGGGGCCATTGTTTGGGCCTGATTTCTTTTTTCTGCTCTGTGTTCCTTATATAATTGCTGGTAAACTTGGGAGTATTTTTCTTTCTTCGAATGCTGTTTGTCCCTTGAGATAGAGTGCCTGCTTGACCTGTCACCCCCTTTTGTCTTCCTAGCATGTGCTCAGACCCTCTCGCTGCCCACCCCTTGGTTTCAACATAAAACAGAGACAAGGGGGAGGCCTGAAAGGGGAACTTGACCTTATTGTCCAGTTCCCATTTCAGGTTCCTATTTGTCAAAATTCACATCTTCCTGAATATTATGGTGGTTACCAGACACCAGAGCCCTTCACAGGTTGCAAAATGTTTATAGGCAGTTAGCAGAGGGTCATGATATAGAACCAGGAAGAACTGGTATGGTCAAAGAGGAGAGTGCCAGGATCCTCAGGCCATATAGCTTCTTTCTTGTGCTTTCTTTAGGTTTGCTTAATTTTTTGGCATTTTTTGAGTTGAAAATTATATTTTTGTTTTTTATTTTATTGATATAAATGTTTAAGATTATGATTTTTCTCTGATCTCTTCTTGTTCGTAATTGTTTGGAGAGCTATGTTACAGGGTTTTTGTTTGTTTTTTGTTGTTGTTTTTTTTTTTTTCGCTTAATGACTAATGTTTTGGAGGAATTTTCATTATCTAAAATGTTTTTATAAAATAGACTTTTTAAAGAGCAGTTTTAAGTTCACAGCAAAATTGAGTGAGAAGTTCAGAAAATTTCCATCTATTCCCTGTCCCCCAAGGCAAACCTCCTCCACCATTAACATCCCACACCCAAGTGGTACATTTGTCAAAACTGATGAACCTACCTTGACACACCATTGTTACCCAAAGTCCATAATTTATATTAGTGTTCACTCTTGATGTTGTACATGCTATGAGTTTGGACAAAAGTATAATGACATGTATTTACCATTGTAGTATCATACAGAATAGTTTCACTGCCCTAAACATTCTCTGCTCTGCCTGTTCATCCCTCCTATGTCCCCAACCCACCCCCAACCCTTGGCAACCACTGATCCTTTTACTGTCTTCATAGTTTTGTTGTTTCCAGAATGTTATATAGTTGGAATCATAGAGTATGTAGCCTTTTAAGATTGACTTCTTATTATTTGTACACGCAGACCCAGGGAAAAGTCCTGAGACTGAAAAATCTACTCCACAATGGAGGGCAAGGAAAGACTGAAGAAAAAGGCAGGCCACTCCAGTCTGGCACTTAGCAGAGTTTATTAAGAAACTTAAATATTAGGCGCATCTTGAGCAGTGGCAAGACAAACTGGATATCCTCAGTGTTATTTGGCAGGTGCTTAAGAAGTATATAAAACAGGGCAGGATGGCTGGGATACTAGTGGTTGACCCATCCCAGATAAGGGAAAATGCCTTACATGCTGTCTGTAGCAGGGCAACAGCTTCTTCTAGGAACCAGCACACCATGGGGTGTAGGGGAGAGGTCGGTCAGATAGTCTCTAAGGGGATTTATAGGATGCAATCTCTGTTATTGCTTTACAGGGAGCAATCTCTGGTCTGGCCCAGATCTGGCACATGTGTCTGACAGATGTCGCATTGTGCAATGGTCTTTTCCGCACTTCTTTCTCTTAATAATACATATTTAAGTTTCCTCCATGTCTTTTCATGGCTTGATAGCTCATTTCGTTTTAGTGCTGAATAACATTCCATTGTCTGGATGTACCACAGTTTATCCATTCGCCTGTGGAAGGACATTTTAGTTGCTCCCAAGTTTTGATAATTATGAATAAAGCTGCTATAAAGATCCATGTGTGAGTTTTTATGTGGACATAAACTTTCAGTTCATTTAGGATAATACCAAGGAGCACGATTGCTGGATCATATGGTTAGAGTATGTTTCATTTTGTAAGAAACTGCCAAATGGTCTTCCAAAGTGTCTGTGCTATTCTGCGCTCCCACCAGCAGTTCCTGTTGCGTCACGTCCTTGCCAGTATTTGGTGTTGACAGTGTTTTGAATTTTGGCCATTTAAATAGGTATGTAGTGGTATCTCATTGTTGTTTTAATTTGTAATTCTTTAATGAACATGTTGTTAAACGTCTTTTAATGTGCTTGTTATCTGTATACTGTATCTTCTTTGGTGAGGTGTTTGTTTTGGTTTCCTGCCCATTTTTAAATTGGGTTGTTTTTGTTTTCTTAGTGTTGAGTTTTAAGAGTTCTTTGTATACTTTGATTAACAGTTTTTTTTAAAAATCAAGTATGTCTTTTGCAAATATTTTTTTCCAGTTTATGACTTGTATTCCCATTCTCTCGAAGCTATAAAGTCTGGATTTTTATTTTTTTTTGCTCTCTTTATAGTCACACTCTATAGATGAATACTGCTTGCATCTCTGCATTTAGTGGACAGGATTGGTTGGTTTGCGATGGTTTACAAGATTCCTAGTTCAATAATACCATCTTCTGTTAGTATATCTAAATGCAATTTCTTTTATTTATGGCCTTAAAAATTTTTTTTTGGAAGTTA